AAAGGCTCTCCTGAGGAGACGGCCATGCTGCAATCCCTTCTCCTTTATTCTCTCAGGATTTGGGGCACGCACACACCTGTGCCTGGCATGTTTTATCAAGTCGCTTGGTCTGGGACTCAAATCACACTGTCAGTTATGTGGGAACCTGCTGCCTTAACCTCCATACCACCCGGCCCCTGTGGTGCTTCTTGAAGGCTAAGGAAACCTTCACTTCCAGGTGCAGTATCTCTTGGAGGACTAGTCTTAAAATTTTATCATTATTATTATATTTTAATTTGTTACAGGGCATGTGTGCTCATGAGAGAAAGAAAAAGAGAGACAGAAAGTGAGAAAACAAGTCACTAGGTCCAGGACTCAACCACCGTCAGCCATGTGGGAATCCAGCACATGTGGTGACGTCACCTGCTGGCCCCCAGCCATGCCTTTTTTCATTCTTCCTGCTTCTCATGTTCCAGAGCCCTCCTTCAGTGGAATCACTAGGACATCTTGGGCTACAAGATTGAGCAACCACAGCAATTTTAACAGTTGAGTACGGGAAGTCCTAAGAAGGCATCTCAGTGTGTGGGCAAGGTCATCATTTGTCTTGTTTACTTCTGCAGTACCCACTACCTGTTAAAGCGCCTGATCTCTATGGGTGCACAGTAAATATTCACTATGTGAGTGGATGAGTAGACCCCTCTCCAGACCCAGCTGTACCTCTTCCCCTAACCTCTTTCTCTTGTTTCTTCCTGCCCAGGGAAGGCACCTGAAGCCCATACCCTAATTTCTAGAAAATGCTTCCATGCCCTCCACCACACTTCTACTTATTAAATTCAGCTTTTTGCAAAATGTGGTTGCTTCCATGACCACCTCCTGGGATAATCTCCTGAGGAGCTTGTGAAAATGACAACCTCTTTGGAATCCACCCACCTACTGGAGAAAGGGTCCAGAAAGCTACCTGCTTTCAGGGGAAGATCTTGGTAATTACGAAGTCTGAAAAAGCTCTGATCCTGATTATGAGATTCATGACTGATTCAAAGAAGAAGGTTTTTTTTTTTTTTTTGGGTAGTGGGCACATGTACTCTCTAGAGACACAAAGAGAAAAAAAAGAACCCCCCCCCCCCCGCAAAAAGCACTTACA